AGCTAGGGCTTTTATTATGTCTATAGTTGCAGTCTCATTTTTTTCCTGTAATTTTGTCATATTTTCTTTAAATTGTTTGACTGTTAAAAACTTAGCAATTGTCCAAAAAATATTTTTTTATCTCATCACCCTTATGTCCTCTCGTAGCCTAATTAACATATACATGCCTAGCACAGAATCTATGTTCAGCATTTGAAAGTATCTCTGCAATTGCTTTATCAAGGACTTATAAGTGATATGAAAATGATTAGTAATTGGTTTAAGTATATAATTTAATTTAAATAAGCATTTAAATATTTATCTTTTGTTGATCTGTCGTGATTGTCCAGCCTATTCCATTTAAAAAAAAAATCATGTTTGATGTCAACAAATCAAGAAACCATTTCCATGAAGCTATGCATTCCACTTCCACTAATGCTCATGCCATTAGAAACATTTGATTGTTTCTATATCTACCAATTGCATATAGCAACTCATCTTTTGTCAAGCTTTTAACCCAACAATCATCTAGTCCCAAAAAAGGTTTACAACTACTTTTTAAACTTTTTTAAGTGCCTCGAAGCATATATAGTACCTTTAAAATATAGGTGGAGAACTTGGCAATAGCCTATGAACTTGTATTTTCGATGTGCTACCTTCATTAATTTTTTTTAATCATATCAGCATAATCCCATCAAAGTTCAAACTCATCCTTATAATTGCTAATAACTTTATCAATTACATCTTTTTTAGCCCTTCTTATCATGTTAATATTCACCCATTATCAAATTTTTTTCTAAGTAACTCCTACATTTTTGCATTCTTAATAAAAGAATTTTTTATAGATCTGTTTGTGTACAACTTAGCCAAAATAGTTTGACTTATCCTTGGATTTTTTAAAATTTTGTTGCATTCATAAGTGTTATTGTAAGTCTTCACTTGAAATGATTAGAACTTTCTATCATTAGCTGCATAGATTACCTAAGGACATTATTTTGTAGCACATTTACCTTTAACAAAATTTTTATGGTTTTTAGCCCAATGATACTCATATTTGTCGTAATAGAAAGTAAGGACATAGCATATTTAAATCGTTTTAAATTCTCAAATAATATGCCTGACTTAATGTAAGGGTTTTGGCATTGGGATCATACACTGAAAACTTATTTCTTATCCTAGTAGCATCATCAACCATTCTATCCTCATCACTAACAAGTTTATCATACTCATCAAAGTCATATTACTCATTCCGATATCCCTCATCAACGTCATCATTGATTGGTGAGGTTGAATTTGGTTTCATCCTAGAGTCATTATTAACTCTATTTCTATCCATATTCACACCAATTTGTACTTTTTCATCGACTCTATTTTTTACATTTACCCTTTTCTAACATAGCTTTTACTTTAGATCTAGCAGTAATTTTTTCTTCATCATCATTATCACTCAAATTCTGATTTTGTATATAGTACAAATAATATTTCCTTCACTACTATTTCTATCAGTTGCATTTTCAACTTCTATTACAACCACATCTTCATTTTCTATCATTGTTTCTCTTTCTGCCCCAACATCTTCATTTCCTATCTTTTTGCCTTAAAGACATATTCATTTCCTACCCTTACTGCTTTAAATACATCTTCAATCTTTACCCTTGCTTCCTCAATTACATCTTCATTTCTTACCCTTGCTTCCTTGAATACATCTTCAATTCTTATCCCTTCATTCCTTACTGCCTCAGCTATATATTGATTTTTTACCATTTCATTCCTTACTACCTCAGCTAATATTGATTTTTTACCCTTTCATTTCCTACCACCTCAGCTACATCTTTCATTTTAAGTCTAGTTAACAACTCAGAAGCTAAAACAGCTTTATCTATACCATGTACTATATACACATCAACTACACCAAAATCTATCATATACATAATCGTACCAAGAGTGCTTCTATCATCATTTACTACCATTAGCCCATCAGTTAGTGTTTTTCTAAGTTTTAAATGCAATATCTCACTAATATTCATATACCTAGTCTCATTGCAAATGTCTAATAACTCATAGTAAGATATCTTATTAGGATTAACTATCAAGTTTTCTACTATTGCATTTATATACATAAGATTATTACCATTACCAACAAAAGCCTCAGCATAGTGAAATCGTATAATACATTAATCAAAACTCATACTGCAAAAGCAAGAAAAATAAATTCTGTCACAATATAAATTAAATTTCAACAATAATTATTTCAATAGTAGATAAGTAATATAAGAATCATTTCCAGCAAAAAATTGTGTTATAAGTGCTATCCAAGTGTTATAAGTGCATTTTATAAAAATTTGTATTATAAGTTCTATAAGTGCATGTCCCTTACCTAAGTGGTTCTTAGCATGTCCTTGACAATGAAAATTGTAGTTAGTGTGCATGTCCATTACATTGTTATGAAATTTGTGTTATAAGCTTTTACATTATTATGACCCTTAGCCAAAGGTCTTTCTCTGAAATGCAAATTTTTTTTACAATAGGTTTTTTATGTGCACCTCTTCGCTCAAAAGTTTAGATTGTTTTTTTCGATGTTATTTTGTTATTAGAATTAGAATTTATATGATTGACTTGATGTCTCGATTTGGTAATATTTTTGGAAAAATAATTTATAAAGTGAACTTGAGGTTGTGAACATACTTATACTTGATCTTGGTTATATTTTTGATGATTTTGTAGCTAGTTATGTGGATATTCTTCTCATCTGTGTTTTTTTGTTCTCGAAATTAGAATTCACGTGATTGACTTGATGTACTGATTTGGTAATGCATTTTGGCAAGATAATTTATAAAGTGGACTTAAGGTTGTGAACATGCTTATACTTAATATTGGTTATATTTCTTATGATTTTGTGGTTGGTTCTATGGATATTTTTCTCATCTATATTATTGTCCTTAGAATTAGAGTTCACATTATTTACTTGATGTTGTTATTTGGTAATGTTTTTGACAAGATAATTTATAAAGTGGACTTGAAGTTATGAACATATTTATTCTTAATCTTTGTTATATTTCTAATGATTTTGTGGCTAGTTATGTGGATATTCCTTTCATATGTGTTATTTTGTTATTGGACTGCTGAAGTTAAACATTATATTGGACTTGGCTAAAATTTTAAGAGATGTCTTGAAAGTAGAAGAAATTTCAATGATAATTTTTTATGTATATTTTTGAAAACTTTTTGGTCAGGTAGTAAGGTGGAGATTTAATTCTAACATTTTGACACAACAGCTTAATTATCTCACCAAATTTAGGTTATAAGTGTTTTCAATCCTATGCTATTACCCATCTATCTTTTGTTCCTAGATAAACCCTAAAGACAATTGTAGCCCAAGAATTCATGAAACATTTAACCCTATTTAAAATCCTAGTTGCCATGAATTGTTGGTTTTTTTTTTTATTTTTTTATGAACTTAACATTGAGGACTTTTGAGGTGAAAATACTTTAACGCTAATTAATTGGCTTTATTTATGCTATAAATTAGGCCAACAGTGATGCGTGATCATACCATAATAGCTTAAACCAGAACATTCCTTAACTTTTTACAGAAACAACAACAGAAAACCCTAATAGCATGTTAAACATAAATAGTAGAATATGCCTAACAGTACAAATAGTTAAACAATTATGATAAGCTACATACCAGAATATGACTAAAGTAGAAAATCTTAATTATAAATTCGAGCAATTAAGAACAATATAAAAAACCCTAAACTAGAATATGCCTAAGTATGAAAAACTGTAGAAAACCCTAAACCACAAAATACCTAACTATGAAGAATAGCATAACAAAAAAATACGTAAATATTATTTACAATATTATTCATCTTACACAATTTAACAAAAAAGCAACTAACCTTCTAAATTTCTGGAGCCCAAACCATTGAACTCTAAACAGAATCAACTCTTATCACATAATCAATTAAATTGAATGAGTGTTACCGTCAAATTAATTGGCGATAGCGTTTACCTCACACAAATTAATGATTGAAATTGAATCAATGATTGAAATAACTTTTTTAGGTAATCAGGGTTAAGAATGATTCGCTATGGTTTCGAGGATTTTTTTTTTCTTGATTTAGGTAAAACTTTTTTTTTCTAAATAACTTTTCATTTCTTTTTTTTTTTTTTACAAAATATTAAAAAAAATCCAAATTAGCTTGCAATTTGTCTAATCACCTAGTTTATATTTTTTTTACATGTTATTACTACGTGTAACATGCACATCCTATTTTTTATTGAAATAAATTTTACATTATTACAAGTTAATAATGTTTAATATTTATTTATACAAATTAAAACGTTTAGTCCTGAATTGAACAATTATCCAAGCTTTTAATCCTAATTTGATTATTTAACTTTTGAATTCGAGTAAAAATTAGTTCAAGGTTTTGCAAACATGTTCAAATGTAGCATCGACAAAACAAATTTTAGTTTGAAACATTGGTATTGATTGGCATACTAACTAAGCCAAATCAAATTCATGCATGCATAAACTTGGTATAATTTTTAAGTTTGATCAATATAAGTTCATTAATTAGTTGCAATTAAGAATGGCCATGGGTAGAGTATCCATTAATTTTGACATATCTTATATAAATATATTAAAATCAAAGTTTTTGGCATAAATGATAATTGTACTACATAGATAACTTGACTTCTAAACATGTGAACACTTTTAAATAAAATGTCATGTGTTTTGTATTTAATTATTTATATTTAATTTTATACATTTTAAATAAAAAAATGTTCTTCTTAAATTAATTACATTTATTTTGTCTTAAATGTTCAATATTCTTACCTAAATTTTAAGTACTATCTAATTAACATTTCAAATTTAAATGTCAAAACTAAATTGAAACTAAATAAATTATAATATTTATTTTCCTTTTATGTCCAAATATATTGAATGTTCATATTTGTATTTTAATAATCTTTTGTAGGATTGCGAACATATACAAACTAAGATGAGCAAAACAAGACAAATTCACACAAATTCATACTAAATGATGAATACATTAATTGAATAAAAATGCACTTCTAAAATGACATAATATTCATTTTTTTTATTTAGTACAAATTATAGCAATCTGGCTTAAAATGACAATACATTATGCTATTATGTATTGTGAACGTTGTTCCGTAAATTAAGAAAACAGGCTCTTGATAACCGTTGACATTGTGGGATTGGTGGTGCTGTAGCCTCCATCAATGACCAGATTGAGTCCACTTACGTACTTGGATTCATCACTTGCTAAATAAAGAGCAGCTTGAGCCACATCTTCTGGTTCCAACACCGTCCCCTTCAAGTTTGCCCCCATGGAAACCACCTCCTCCAATTTCTCCTTCGCCATCATGCCGAACGGTCTTCTTAGCAGTGGAGTCGCCACTCCGTGTGGCGAAATGCAATTTACTCTTATTCCATACTGTCCCAACTCCACACACAGATTCTTAGCCAACCCCACAAGTGCATGCTTTGATGTCACATAGGCATGTCCGGCATCAGTGCCAGCTATGACTGAGAATACGCTTGAAGTGAAGAGAATGCATCCTTTCTTGGCTGGAATCATCACCTTGGCAGCGTGTTTGGCACCCAAGTACCCTCCAAACACATTGACATCAAGAACCTTCTTGAATCTCTCATCATCTGAAGAAACTATATTCTTGTCAGGGCTGGTTGTACCAGCGTTGTTGAACATGATATCAAGCTTTCCATACTTGGAGACAGCTAAATCAACTGCACTTCCGACGTCTGAGTCCAATGTAACATCACAGTGAACATATGTGATGTTTTCTTCTCCAAGCTCTTGACAAATAGCTTGTCCGAGATCATCTTGGATGTCTGCAATGAGGACCTTTGCACCATGCTGGACAAAAAGCCTTGCTGTGCTCTCACCTATGCCACTAGCACCTCCAGTTATCAATGCCACCTTACCTTCTAGCCTGTAATGGAAGAAATCAATTAAACAAGGTTAATTGGAATCAGTTAAATAAGGCAATCATTTCTGGGTGTTTTTCCTTACCTTCTTATGTTCGAAGCCTCTGAAGAACTGGCGCTCATCTTTCCTTCAAATCGATGAGAAATCACTGCTGCAATGAAGATTAATTCTTGAAGATTTAATTCTAAATTATAGCAGGTTCCTTGTGCTCTTATAGAAGACAGATAAAACAATTAATCTGAACACCATATAAATGTAAAGTATGGAGTACTAGATCACAGAAAGGTTGAATTCTGTGTCTGACCCAAAAAAAAAAACAAAAAATATATATTTAATTAACTAGAGACAATGTCGCCTTGACTTGACTAAGCCAAATTGGATTAAATGAAGTTATTCAAAGCTTGAAAATTAGGATAAGAATTTCAAGGAGGCTTCAGCCTTCTGGAATGCAGTATTCTAAAACAATGTCTATATAAAAATTTGGTCAATTGCGTGCCCTTTCTTTTTAACGAATATTATTGCAACAGCTTTAAGAAACAGCCTAAGCTGTATTACGAAATCTTTATTTAAAAGCAAAACTAATCATAGCCGGTGCCTTGCCTTTGACATTACGGGTGAAAAAAGGGTTCAAGTGGGTCCTTACCTATGTAAGAGAGAGAGCACTTGACAAGATAAGAATTTCTAAAGAATAGGTATAATACCTAAATATGCCCTAAAACTTTACTTTAAAATGTAAATAAATTTTTTTATTACATAAAATTAAGATTATAAAATTTTATTTTATGATAATTAAAACTTTGACGGTATAAAATATTTAATTTTTTTGTTTAAATTTTTTAATTGGATAATTTAATTTGTAAAAAAATTTTATTCAGATTCATTTAGATGAATTAAATGATAAATATTTAAGAAAATATTATTTTAAAAATTCCATCAATCGGATATTATTCATTTTATTTTAAGATTCAATGAGTATAATTACAATAAAATAAAATTTCATAATCTTAATTTCAAGCAAGAAAAAATTGAAGACTCGTTTGCATTATTAAATAAAGTTCAAAAATTTATTTAAGTATTAGCCTAAAAAATATTAAACAGGAGTTTACATTTGATGCATTGTGTATGTATGTTATATATACATTAGGGATGTCAATGGATAGGGTATAAGTAGGGTAGAGTATTATCCATCCTTATCTTCAAATTTTTATATTATAATTATCTCTGTATCCATATTTAATAGATATTTTAAATTTATTTTCATTCTTATTTCCGTGGGTATTTAATGGATATGGATAATTTTCATATGCTTAACTTTTAAAAAAAAAAAAAATTTTTTTTTAACTTATTTTTATTTTAATTTTATATATTTAGATAATTTTTTATAAATATATATTAATATTTATTTTTAATAAAAACATATTAATTCCAATTAATATAAAATAATAATTTATATTATTTAATAAAAAATCTATTTACTAAATATATATAAATATATATAAGGCACGAGTATGAACGGATATTATATTAGCCATATCTATTTTTATACTTAATCGAATAAAAAATTAAATTCTCCATTGAACATAAGTAAAATTGATATCCCTTATATACATGTCATATACTATCAATGACAATAACACCTCATAAAAAAATAATTTTAAAATTTTAAAATCTTAAAAAGAAAATAAACTGAATTCTAAAAATATATTTAAAATTAATTTTTTAATGAGATGTTATTATGTAGTTCATTATAAACCGTGCATAGAATATAAAATACTTTAGGTAAATAAAAACAGTCCTTGGATATTTGTTGCAGATCAATTTCAAACTTTATTTCTGGAAGAGACAAAAAAAAAATTAAAATTCAACATAGTGGAAACTTTGAGCCAATGTCAAATGAAACAGAAGAAATGATACTAATGCAAAAAAGTGAAGTCACCAAGAGCAATGGAATCCAAAACCTGGATTCCCACCAAAAGTATCAAATTTTGAAACACCAAATTAAGACATTAGGCTGTGGATAGTCATGGCCAAGGAGCGATTGGTTATGCTGCCTATAGCCTCCATCAACCAGCAGATTCGAACACCTTCTCTTTCAAGTTTCCTGCTATGGAAACCGAACTCTCCATCTCTTTTTACATCATTCCCAGGCCCACTTACCCAAACAAAACTCAGCCCCATTTAAGGTTGCATTAAAGACCAAACAAAACGAGGGCCTGACTTGGTACTGGCTTTTGTCTTTTTGATTCGGTACTAAAAAATAGTGAAGTACAGCGCTTTGCTATGGTTTTATAATTTTATTTTTTAATACATATTATAACAGCAAAATTGAAAAAAAAAAATATAATTGTATTATAAGAGTGATTGTAAATAACTTGAACGAAGAATAAGTGGTTAGATAATTATCAAATAAATTTTAAATTTGATGATTCCTTCTAAAACAATTAAAAAATGTTTTAGTGGATTCTTCAAACAAAGGAAAGATTGTTGTATTTCTCAATTTCAATAGAAGGAGAAAATTTAAAAAAAAAATGCTAGAAACAAAAATGAATTTGAGAAAAGAGGAAGATAAAGAGTTAACAATCAATATCTATTTAAGAGATCACTTATATGGATAAATGTACCTCATAAACCTTCTAAAAGAATTAATTTTTTTAAAAAATTAAGTGAAAAAAATATTTATACTTACAATCATTGGTTAGATGAATTAGTTTTTTTTTTTTTTAGAGAATGAAAATTAAAAGTAATAAATAAATAATAATGAGTAAAAAAGACAATCGATTACTTATATTAAGAATTTTAATAATACGAATTCATCTTCTTTCAAGCTATAAAAAAGATTCATTGTCTCTTGAATAAAAAAATATAATATATATAATTGAAATAAATGAAAAATGAATAAAGATAACGAGGAAGTAATAGATCAAGAATGGAATATGAAGCATTATTGACTCTAAACCCTAATGAAAGACATAAAAGAAGGATAATTAAGATTGAATGACTTAAAAACTTAAAATGAATATATGACATCTTAATGATCCTACATGACAAATGAAGGTTGCATATGTGGTAATCCATATGTCACAATTTTAGATAACATGAGATGAAAATATATGTATATTAGATTGATCCATTAATTATTATATCAACAGTATGACTAATCACTAATATAATCCTCAATACAAAATTTGCCTTAAGATAATGATGCCTTTACTTCCTATATGCATCCTACGTTAATTTCAAATGAAGTTTCAAGGTTATATAAAATTTGTATGCCTTCTCTGTTGTGTAATTGCCTTTTAAAATTTCCCCCATAGAGTTGGTTTCTTTCTTATAGATTACAATAATCACAAATTAGAAAAGGAAGAGACATCATATTTATATCTAAATGATTCCTTAGGAATTTAAGACAATAATAAAAAAACCCAATGTAGTGATAAATATTTTCATAATGATTTTACGTTCAGAGAGACTCGATCGCTAGACTTGATAAAAATTTTCGAAGTTGCCACAAATTTTTTTATAGGATGTGATTGGCCACCTAAAATATTATCTTTTAGTAAAAAAATTTTAAAATTAATTAAAACTTACTAAAAGAAGTTTAAGTTTGCGAAATCAAGACAAGGTCCGGGAGTACGGTTACGAGTGAAAAAAATATTAGTACCTTCATATCTCCTGTTCGAAGAATAGTACCATTTAAACATGCGTAATCCTATAATTTTGATAATGGAGTTTTTTTATTTAAGTTTAATGTCTTAAAATTTATTTTAAAATATTTTTCTCTGTTTCGAAATTAACATTATTATTATTATTTCGTATTCTATAAATTCTTCAATGCTTTGGTGAAATTTATAGAAAATCACTATTTAAAAAATATTTCGAGAAAATTGATCATTCACAAAATTCTCGAAATTTCGTCATAAGATATTTTAATTACTTATTTAAAAAAAAATTTAGGAATATCCCGACTCTTTGGTGAGTTTCCAAAATTTATAACAAATTTTAATATTATCCCGACTCTTCGATGGAATCTAAATATTATGGTTATTTTAAAATTTTATATTATTTATTTGTTAATATTTTTTATAAGAAGAAATTTAGATTATCTCGACTCACCAGTGAAATCTAAATATTAATCTCTTGTTTAAAGAAAATCGAACTTTTTCAATTTTTTATATATATATTTAAAAAAATTCAAGATATCAATTATTATTAATTTCATTCTTTATTATTTTTTATTATTATTTTACATTGTTTAAATCAATCTTTATTTTAGTAAAAATAATTTTGGATTATCCAAACTCTATGATAAAATCTAAAAAATTATTTTTGCTTGCAATAATTAAAGAAAATTAAACTCTTTTAGCTTTCTCTAAAAATTGCATTTAAAAGATTCATTTAAACAATTTATTTTTATTTTATTTTTTATAATTTTTTATTTTTTAGCAAAAATTATTTTTTAAATAATCCCAACATTTTGGTGAAATTTAAATAATATTTTTGCTTGTAATAGAATTTATTTCCTTTAAATAGTTATTATTATTAAATTTTTTTATTTATTATTTTTTAGGTCTTTATTTTATTTTAGTTTTATTTTTTATTATATTTATTTATATATTTTTTAAATTATTACTAGTAATAATATAAAATAATAATAATAACATCATAAAAAAATAACATAAAAATCAAAATCAAAATCAAAGTGAAAAATAAAAAGAAAAAGAAAAACCTGTGAAATGGGTCGGATCGGTGCACGGATCCTGGACAGGTCGGGTTCGGTCCAGACGTCCAAAACGACATCGTTTTGAAGGGCCTATAAAATGCATGTTTCTTTTTTTTTTTTTTATTTTCTCCTTTCCCCTTTCTTTTTTTACCCAGACTTTTCTCTCTAGAAAACCCAGCCTCTATACTGACTGTCGTGGAGCTCAATTTTCAGTCGGTTATCACCATGCACCGATGGTCAAAAACTTCAACGGCGTAAAAAAAATCAAAGATCCCCAGATTCTTGTGATCAAAAAATTCAACAGTCATCGAAGAATTTAAACTTTTTCAAATTTCAGTGTAGAAAAATTCAACCGTCATAAAAAAATTCAAACTTTTTCAGTTTCTTGTGACCCAAAAAAATTTTAAAAAATTTTAAAAAATTTCCCCAATGATCTATTTTGCTTTCTAAACACTTTTCAAGCTTAGATTTTTCAAAAACAATCTGCAACTTCCTAGATTGAAAATTTCATTCTTAAAAATTTTTTTTTTGTGTTTGTTGTTTTTTTTTTTAATTATGTGTTCCTCCTTTTTTGTTCTTTATGTCCTTTTGTTTTTGCAAAACTTAGTGCTATTTATAGAGCTCCGGGGATTCAAGATCCCATATCTTCTGGGATCTTTTTTTGTGAAAAATTTGTGTTTATCATGTGACTTTTAGCCACCGAATTTTATGCTGTCAAGTTAGGTAATGTTAGGGAGAAATTTAGATTACTCTGATAGTTTGATTTCGACTGCCAGAGTTGAAATCAAAGACCTTTTTTTTTACTTTTTTTTTTTTTGTTTTAAAGATTAATAATAATAATAATAATAATAACATAAACAAAATTATATTTAAATAATAATAAAAAAGAAAAACAAAATTGGTGCCTACAAATATTTTTGCCTCTGTCTTAGATTTAAATATGGACAAATATGCAAACAGAACAAGCAAGTTTATCAGAACTGGCAGTGTTTGACCAACAACCCCGAAGGCAGCGTAAGATATATTTTACGAAAAAACCAAATGGGGTTCCTAGATTTCAACGGAGGGACAGAGAATCTTAGTTGTTTGATGTCCCTTTTTCAGGGTTTAACATTTCTTCAAGGTTTTGATGTCCAAATTTTACAGAAAATTTTCAAAAGAATGACTTCTTCATATCAAAAGAAGATATTTTGACCCTTGTGCCACGGGATCTATCATGATCTTGCAGTCTTGCAATGTCTTACTTATATGTTACAGCCAAAGGTATGGGTCACTTTCTCCTTGCACGTAATAAATTTTCAACCCTGCCACCAACAAATTCTCCATTCTCCCTGAACTCTTTGGGCATAAAAGCTTTATAAATTTCTATAGTTCAGCTCATGAACCAAATATATCACCTTTCTATCAGGTTGTTTGGGTTCAGTTCTATAAATCTTTTGGAGGCATGGTTCGGTCGATTTCCTCAATAAAGGGTAAGGTCTTTAGGAATTTTAGCTCGTCCTTAAAGGATGCGGCTTTTCCTTTTATTTCCTTCTTCATGGCTTGCATCCTGACTTTCAAATCTCTGTTTGACTGGGATTTGAAGTCAGTCTGTTCGGATTTTTGTGTAGTTGCACGGGTAAAGTTATGGCTAGAATAGTGATGATGGGTAGCTGGAACGGCGTGTTCTCCCTTCTAGAGGTTGAAGAGGCTTCAACTTCTTCGTAGCTTGGATGTCTTTCTATTAATTGTCTACGATGGGTGACCAAAGTTGGGTACTTTTGAGACTTAGAGTGTGTTATGCTTTGGGGCATTTATTTTAGGGTTTGGATTTGTTCGGCAAAGACTTGAAATTATTCCATGTTTGGCCTTGCTTGTATCGGTGTAGGTCAGTCCATAGGTTGGCTGTTGTGTGTTTCGGTCCTGGCTGGGACTGTTAGCTCTATTTCTGGGTAGGATGTTACTTAGTCCGGCTAAAAAATGTATGCCTCCTACTTGTCACGCTAAATATTGATGTCTAGCTCTAAGTTAAGGGTAACAATCTTGAAATCACAAAAAATTAAATAGAGCAGTTAAGGGCAAAAATAGAGAACTTTTTTTTTTATTACACTTTGACGCTCGAGTGAAAATCAGTGGTCAATTAGAAGAGATTGAAAAAAGAATGAAAACTAAATGGAGTAAGAAAAAAATAATAAGATAGATAATACTTAAATAACTTTATTTATAATCGAAAAGTACAAAAAATTTGTGGATAAAATAATAATATAATCAAATTAACGTGATATTATACATGTCAAATTAGCTCAAAAATTGAAAATGTCGCTGATTATTTTCTAACAATTTCTAATGAAAGAAAAAATTAATTTATCTTTTGGATCCAAAAATACTGTTAACAAATTGGAAGTAGTAACAACTAAAGAAAGTAGGATTCATTAAATTCTTCGTACATTAAAATGCTGGAAACGGTAACTAAAATATTATATCATGATGTCTTAAGATTTTTTTTTTCTTTTAATTTTTTTTAAGTATCACATTAAAAATATTAAAAATTCAGATATCATATTAAACATTACATTATAATTTAAAGACTATTCATGACATTAATAAAAAAAAAAATCAATTTTGTTTAACTGTTTTTGAAATTTCAAAAACTAAACAAAACATGAAATTGCAACACTCGAAAGATTTTCAACGCACGTAAATTAAGTACTAGCATATTTATTCCAAATTTTTTTAATTAAAATCAGATTTTGGAGTTTTAATCTAATTTGACTACATCCCTATACCTAAAACATGTGTTGAATCTACTTGATGGCGTATGATAATGATGATGAACTAGCTGGATATTCGTTCAAAGTCAATCTTAATAAAATTTAGACCATCTACATTTTCTTGCATTGCCAAACAACTGAAGACTGAGGATTTATGAGAATGTGAATGAAACTTCTTTGATAGTACTAATATTTTCCATTAAAAATGGTGAACAAAACAGAAAAAGTTATCTTTAAGGAAATCATAGGCATGACAATTTATGTTTTGTTTACTTTTTTTATGTCGTTTATTTCGATATCATGTTTTAAAATTTCAAATCTAAAAAATCAATCATTTTGGTTCCAGGGATGTGATACGATCTGTTCGATATCCAAGGTAAATCTATGCAGATCAAACTCCATCGGTGAAACTTAAGCTAAAACCTAAATGGCATAAACCCCAATTATTATCATAAGTGGGTACTTAATATTGATCTCCTTTGCATGGCTTCAAATAGTTATTTTATGGGCAAAAGTACAGCATACCTGAAAATGCTACGTAAAATGATTTTAGCATCGATACTAGGCAGGAATGTGATGTGGAAACCAAAAACCTGAAAAGAAATATACGAAAGCCTCATTTCTTTTAAAACTAAAAATGCTTGATGCAAAGAGGGCAGTAACACTCTTTACGATCTGTTTTCCTTGTGAAAAGATTACAAACTCACTCCAAATCTAATAAGACCCAACAAATTTACTCAAATACATCATTACACTGGGATAACTCCGTCGTTGGTTGCCTTTTTCAGTGTCCATGGGAAGGTCGGAATAATGTATAGCCATTGACGCCACATGCCAGATTAGAATACTCTGGACTGTAGAATGGGTAACTGCCAACATCTGCTGCATTCCTCATGCTGAGTAAAGACAGATCCGAAGAAGCCATTGGCCACTGGGTTGGGACCGATCCATCAATTTGCCCATTGGCATAAGGTAGGGGTCTAGCTTGCGGAATAAATTCCCTTGATGTATCAAAATGGTTGCCTGAGGAAATACTGTCACCTCGTTGGAACCCATAAGCATGGTAACTCCTTGCTCGCTCAAACCTGCATGAGCCATTCGAAGATTGCATCTCACCCGACATGCCCAAATTGGGTGGAAAAGAAAAGTGCCGATTTAATAAATGTGATCCATTGCCAAGAGAATGGAAGCCTGTTCCTGGCCTATCTGCTCTCCCAACATTGTGTTCCTCATCAAGCAAGTCATTGATAATATCAAGATGTGGAAACTCGTCTGCCAAGGCACCTTGGGTCTGACGTGCACATGTAAAGGATGAAAAATCAGTAGAGAAGTGTTCCCGTGATCCATTAGGCACAGACTTATACAAGTCAAGATTTTGGATCTCACTAAGCAATGAAGAAGGATCAGAATGCATACTTCTACTGCCATCTCTTTGAGAACTCTCCATCCACTGGGGTGCATTCGGGAAAGTATCCCGAGTTACTATGCCAAATGGAAAGCCTGATTGGACAGAATTTGGCTCCATCCTCTCTGACCTCTGGGGTATATACACTGGTGCAGATACCAAGGCGGGTGGCTGTGAGTATGCTAGTGATGGGTTAACTCTTGAGCTAGGGGAGTTGGGATGAGTAAAACCAGATGAAACAGAAGCAACATTGTTACCCATTATGGCATTTCTATAAGATTGAGGACCATAACTAGTAGCTGGGGATGGGTCAGGACCTAAACGGCCAGCTGCACTAACTGAACGAGCAAGAATCTGAGTTGTTTGAACCATAGAAACAACAGGAGCACTTGGCCTAGGACCAGGAATAAGAGGAGCACTAGAGGGCCTTGACATCACAGGCACCTGTGGGGTCACAGGTTTTTCAGCTGGTTTCGGAGTTGCAGCCTTCTGAGTCTCAGATTTTGATAAACCAATCATTTGGAATGATGAAATCAAAGATGCAGGTTGATCATTATGTTGCAGGCCATTTGACGATGCCTTCCTCACTGGCATAGAATCTACACCACTAGCACTCTTGTACTCTGACCTAAATTGAGCAGTAGGTCGCAGATTTCTTGGAGGACTTCTTGGAGAGGATGGTATAGCAGCTGTCTTCTCTTTAGGTCTTTTTAAATCAAGTGGATCTTGGGTGCTTGGTTTCTTTTGCACCAAAATAACTTCCTATTACATAGAAAAGGTAAATGTCAATCATTGAGCCCTCAAGCTGTAGAAGCAGTACAATTGTAAAGTAACAAAAAAATTTAAGAGCTTAATAATATGGACATAAATATATAAATACACCACCTTCTTAACAGCATCCTGCTCAACCCACTTTGTCTGATCCAGCAAGAATGAAACAGAAGCCTCAGACTCAGATTCACCAGCCTTACTACTTTCAGAAACATCATTATGGTCCCCTGCATCTAATGCAGGACAAGAAGCCTGATTATCAGTTTCTGTAGTCCAACTACTGCCATCACTTGATGTTTTGCCGCGCTGGTTCTTCCCACTACAAATTTGAAGAGCCAGATGAGATAAATACCATATTTTATCATCCAGAAGCATGGAAAGAAACCTAAGCAACACTTTACCTGCTAGGCGATTTCTGATTTTGGTTGTTTGAGAATGAGTTCCCTTTATAGGGGTCATTCATTACCAATGAGGGTATTGAGTCTGTCGAACATGTTGATGAACTATCATCCATTATAGATGGGCTCCTTTTATCAGCTACTCCATTTTGTACACACGATAGTCCACTTATTCCACTGCTACTGGCTTCTGTGCGAGGATGGATTTCTGATGTATCTGTATCCCAATTAACAGGACTAGCATCTCTGTCTTCTGAGTCAGGCTGAAGAACTTCAGTGGCACCATCAACTGAGTCAGAAACATCAGAAACATCACCCAGAACATCAGATTTTTCGGGCACTGGCTGCAACTCCACCATCATAGAGGCATCCGTTTCATCATCTTGGTTGTCATCTTGGTGATTCTCAAGTGCAGCCAGAATAGCCTTCTCCTCCCTTCCTTTATCTTTGCTTTTCCGATTATTCCGTTTTTGCTTAGCCTGCAGTATGTAAGCAGGGAAAATGCATTGCATTCAGAAGGGGAACAAACAACTTTACAAATTTATTCACCATCTTTAAGTCTTTAAAAATGAAAGTTAGAAAAATAAACATATACTTCAAATTGCTTCCAAAAGTAAATTTAAAAAATAAATTTGGGAAAATGTAAAACCTCATTTTATTCCATTTTATTGCGCTTGGGTGGTCCCAGGAGAGTGTTTATTTTGATATCAGCTAAGATTCTACCATGCCAAGAAAAAAAAAAAGGAATTATACATGTTTTTTCTTTGATTTTTTCTCTTTTTCAGATGCTCCTCGTTTAGCCTTCTGCTCACTTTCAGCCAAGCATGCAGCTTCTTCACGGATGAGTTCTTCTTGCCTCTTCAAAGCAACAACTTCCTGGTAGGCAACTTCTATTTTGTTGCTGTATTTAAGCAAAAAATTAGGGATCCATGGGTACAAACAAGTGAGTATCATCCCATTAATATCCTATGGAGATTGATGAATATAAGTTTTAAACACTATGTGAAAATTAAGAATCCAATCTTTCCATCAAGCTGACCAAAGCGGTCACCTAAAGGAACCCAAAATCATGACTAACTCCATTAACAACTAATTATATGCAATTAAGCGATCAGAAAATAAGACAATGCCCTATGTGCTATAGAGTACTATTTCAGCTAATAAGTTTACTAAGATATTGCCCTCTCCCACTAAAAGAGAAGACATTGCTGTGCCAGTGCATACACCATGGTGGATAGTGTTGCCATGGTGACGGGGCAAATCAAGCAGATATAGTGATGCCTCGTGTAAGAGAATGCAGAATCCCAAGTCCCAATGAAAAAAATTAGTTAAATTGATTTTATAAGAAAAAACTGCATGCTAAACTAAATTTTAAAGCAACAGATAAAATATAATTGATGGATCCAGAATATATTTTTAGTCAGTGTTAAGGAAATTCTATGCCAAGCTCAGTAAATCCTCACAATAAGTTAAAAAAATAAAAGTCTTGCTGCCACAAGTTGACTTCTATTATCAAAAATCATTTAAATTTTGCAATTTCAAGAAAAAGAAAATGTCTAGAAAAAATATAGGAGCCAGCGATCCATTTAAATTATACAGCAACTCTCATCAACTATTTATCCTCCATTTGTTTCTTTTAAACTCCCACAGAAAAATGTGGAGGTACATTAAAAAAGAATTCAAGTGTAAACACAACTGTTTTTTCTTTCCTTTCCCTCAAGATTTCCACGAACCAAATGGAGCAACTTATTGACAGTTAAAACTTAATACTCCCTTGGGTCCATTACTTGATAGGACAAACAAGAAAATGTTATATACATACACATAAATCATCTATATTTATACACGCATGTATATTTTGAGGCTGGTCCTAGTTATAAGGACACATTCCAGTATTTTCACAAGTAATGGGGAAAATCAACAAGCTAGTATTTCTTGACCGAAAAATCAACAAATATGATACCTGAAAATATGAGCGAGAACAAATATTTCCACTGTCCTGCGACCCAATTCTGTAAGACGCCTTTCATCACGCTCAATTGAATCCTTGTTGAAATCTTCTCCAGAATTCCCATCCTAGATAAAATGAAAAGGCTCGCTGAGCAAGAAAAAGCTGAAACCCCATTTTCATACCCAAAATAAAAATCCATGTACAGGAAAAAGCTTTGCTCATTGTTGCTGTAAAAAGAATTAATTTGCCAGGCTAGGGGCTTGAATTAACTTTTCCACAAAGGTATATGGGAAAAGCATTTGCTTCCAGGGAAGAGAAAGCATCTATTCATAGGCACCAATCCAGAACTCATGTATTGGAAACAGAAGTCAAAAAATTCAACTAAATATGTTTTCATCTAACTACAAAAATTTTAAAACGGAACTTTACAAATTACTCTGTACTTGCTTAAACCCATGTGGTTTTCATACTCATTTTAACATATAATCAATATTCAGAAACTTACCTTTGTTCGGTTCTGAGGACCTTTCTCATCTTTAGGAGGTAATGGTTCCAAAGCAGCCCTTTCTAGAAGTAGTAGCACATCATCCACTAACACAAACATATCTTTTTCCACGCGAACAATTGGAGCTGGCATTTCTTCAGCATCCAATAATTTTGAATTCGCTTTCTTGCCCTTACTTTGGCCATCTAGAGCCTTCAACCCACTATAAAGTGAATCCATTACCAAAGTAGATGTCACTTCCTTCTCTATAAAAAAGTGCTTCACAACTACTTTCAAAATCACATCTGTTTTCTCCCTGGACATTCGGCGCCTGGCATTTTGGTCAATCCCCAACCAGAAAGCACAGAAGCTGCAAAATTTGAAAGCAATTATTTGGAGAAAAAAGGCAACAAGAAGATAAAGGTGATGGCCGAATGAGAAACAAAATCATCAAATATATGCCTTTCAAAACAGGATTACAAGCACAAAAAATTAAGAAAAATCACTAAGGTGAAAACAATTTAGGCCACCCTGGATATATAAGGTCAAGGCAAGAAGGAATCTGATGCTATAAGGAAAAAGATGAAAATTTAAGCAGAACATAAGGCAATGGTAATAGGAACTACAGACTGATAATAAAAAATAACATATCCTTCGAACATAGATGTTGAACACAGTTAAAACTGATATTCAGTGTTCTAAGTTAGTAACAAGTCATTAAAAGTACAGAGTATAAAATCTTTTACCTTGACCACGTAGCTTTGTCCTCTATCAACTTCCCTAGCTTGTTTCGTCTCTCATCCGAAAAACGGCGACAAATTAGCTCTACATTTGTCAAATAGACTCTAACAAGTTCTCTCCTATACAGACAATCAAGGCAACGAAAAGGCTGGTCTGCTTTCTCCCTACAAATCCAAATCAAAATATTAAATTTGCTCATCAAGATGGAAAGAAACTAAATCAGGTAAACAAAAATTAGCTCAACATATCAACTTGGTTGTAACATACCAAGGCCATAATTTCAAAATGAGGAAACAACTCCATGGAAGGAACCTTCTTAAACTATAATGACCTCATTACTAAGCCAACTTCATCATCAAAGATATAATACAATGGCTGAATGAAACAATTATCAATCAACTGTTTCACCCCAAGTCTTATATTTGCCGAGAACTGGGATTGCAAAAGTTGTGTTGATAAGCATGAACATCAGTCAAAGTCTATATGTAATGCCACTACTCATATAAAAAGCCAAAGGAAATTGGAAGAACTTACTTGGTTATAAAGGCTATGTAATAAAGATCACTAGGAAAGGAAAAGTTGTCTAAGCATTGAATGAAGCACCATAGGCAGAGGTTTGCTTATAAATAAATTACTGATTACCTGATGACTTGAACTTGAGCTTTTATTATTAGTGTGTCAGACTCTATAAACCCATCATAAACTTTTGAGAGCTCCATAAACTTTTTCCATCCCCAGTCATGCTCTTTCTTGCAGAATCGATGTAAAGTATCTGCAAACCAAAGCAAGTTACTCATAGCTCATAATCTCTATTAGCACTACTAAACTAAATTTGAGCCAACCAACCTGAATATTTTGATTTCTTTGGATCTTTATTCACAACAGCTATCGTAAACTGTGCAAAATGACTCCAACCTGTCTCAGAATAGAGCAAGGAATCATATATAAGTTCAACAACATAATAGCAGATTAATGATAATAAATCCAAAGTGGAAATTGCAGATAACATCAAACCTGGAAGAAGTTTGTCGTGATTAGCAACACAGAGAAACAGTGAGAGATGATTGCAAACATCACAACCTTGTGGATAAATTAAAATGTACCTGTCAACCACAGCAAATGGCTGAAATCAAAACTAATGAATTTGCACGGCTAAAAGGCGATATGTTTCTTTATGACCAACAAATGAACAGTTTAAAAGATTTTTCTGTTTGTGTAAAAGTAAATATACTTCACAAATAGTTTCAATATAATATGAAAGAATAGGAATTCCAGAATGAAAAGTATGAATTTGACAGAGCAAAGTAGAAACATAACAGCCAATAATATTTAAGCCCCATACCACTTGTAGCCACCAACTTCAAATGCATTACTGCGAAGATCCCTTTTGTTAATCTGCGAAAATTTCTCTATCTTCCATGTATATTTCCCATATAATTCAGAAGGTTTCGGCCCTATAAAAAAGTGAACTCAGCTTTGGAAGTTTCTATCATAAAAAAGGGAAGAATAACAAGAACATATTCCAAACCCTTCCTACTCAAAATAAGAATATAAAAAGAATATTGGTAGAGAAAACTTCTTGCTATGTATTCCCTACCCAGCTTAATTTGTACTTTCTGTACACTCAAATAGTTCAGAGCAAGCACCATCTACTAACAAGCTAGGCTATCCATCATTATAAAGAAATAAACTCAGTTTAACTTTTGATCATAAAAAAAGGGAAGAATAAAAAAAACATATTTAACCAGTTCATACTTAACATGGCAATATAGAAAAGTACTGGTTGAGAAAACTTCGAGAAATATTCCCTAACCCTGTAGCCCAGCTTAATTTGTACTTTTAGTACACTCAAATAGTTCAGAACAACCATCACATATTAGCAAGCTAGCCTATTCACTTCTCATGTTATATGTTTCTCCAGTTGTATTACGCATCAGGAAGGAACAGGTTCCAGCCAACAACACCTTATAGAACTCCAGATGACATTAAAAAACAAAAAATCTAATGTAAATAACTCCTTCTGGCACTACAGATGACATTTAAGGAAACAAAGAAATATGGAATAAATAATTACTGAGCCCTAAAAACCGATTGCTTGACTAGATATCATGAGTGTCCAAATTTTACATGTCCAGAGGAAAAAATTCTCCAAAAACCACTCCTTTTCATCCATCTAGTCAACTTGCATATGTAAGGGTAAAGGAGATAAAAGAAACAGGATGGTTAGAGAAATATTTTTCTTCATGTATCCCTTAGGAGGTGAATGTGTCATGAGAACTAGGCTTCAGTACTTAACCTTCCATAATCAACCATCAATCAATGAGCTAGAGCTTGAAAAACATAACTTAATAGGAAAACAACAACAAAACAAGTCAAAACCATCTATGATTTAATAATCTCAAGACAATTGTGGCTCCATTATACTCGCTTCAACAACCAAATCCAATAATTGTAATTATGATTATAAGTAATTTTAAACATCATCGAACCCCTCAGTCACATTTCATAATGTAGACAGCAAAATCACAATAGACTACCCAAAACAGAATGCAAGCCAATCTTTTTATCAGGCCATTTCAAGTTTTTTAATCATTCATTGTTTTTGGACATTATACTGGATTTAATACATAATGGATTCAATCTAAAGCTTCAATAGACTTTATTATGGTTGAAAATAAACAGGCATACAAACACGTGCTCAAAAGAATAAAGAGCATTCAACCGAACATGAAAGGATCCAAAAGCATACCATCATCATCATCATCGTCCCCAGAGTCCCAATAAGGGGGTGAGGTTGAAGGTGTTCCATTTTCCACCTGCTCAGAAGACCTCCATTCTGCCAATGCTTCCCCTAATTGGCAACGCTGCCCACTTGAAATCCCCTCCACGGACCATCCCACTCCGGACTCCTCACTTGCAACCCCAGCCATTTTCCCCTTCAAAAGTCCTCCGCACACTCCTTCAGCTCCACTTGCTACACAACGCAAGACCCAAATAACGAACCACTCAAAATTATTAACTCTTAAACCTCACTTAGAAATGTAAAATCATCAGAAACATCATTGCTATATAGTCATATACCCTCCACTCAATGTTTTCATCACAGTATCCAAAACCGAATATTCCAACTACAATTATATCAACATTTCCGCCGTCGTCACGAGGAAAAATACCCAAATTACCCAAAAACTAAATGATACAAACACGATTTTGGGTTCAAACCCTATTGATAACAAAATTTTCCAAAATTCAAAAAATTAACATAAAACCATATAAAAATTCAAAAACCTATCGAACTTCGGCAGCTGCAATCACTCAAATTATAATACGATAATCAATATAATTAAAAAATCCTAATAAAATCATTAACCTAGCTCAAAAATGAACCAAGCAGAATCTTATGAATCAATCCAAAAAACCAAAATTCAAAAACAAAAAAAAAAGGCATCTAATTAAGACCCAATTGCCTGAACCGCAAGCCCAATTAAACCCCCTAAATAAATAATAAAGATCACCAGATTGAAAACCCCCAAAACCCCAATCAAAATCAAACCCCCAAAAAAATGAAAAAAAATAAAAGAGAAACAATAAATAAACGAAAAGAATCAAAATGATTCTGACGACATCGTACAGATCGAATGGTGAAAACGAACCTGGAATGGGAGAGTCAATATAGTTTTTGTTTTGGTTCAAATGAGGCTATGTCACTTCTCTTGAGATTCTAGAGAGAAAGACACACAAAAAAGAAAAAAGGGAAGCAGCAAAATAGAGAGAAAGAGCAATGAAGAAAAAAGAGAACCCAGGAAAATAAAATAAATTTTATTTTAGTTATAATAAATTCTTTAAATTTTCTTATTCAATTTTTGATAATCTACTAAATTTTTTTATTTTATCAAAAAGAGAATAAAATAAACAAAGGGCCTTAATTTACGAAGAATCGATGACAAAGTGACGCCTCTGACTAGGGATGGCATCAGGTCGGATTCGGGGCGGGTTTTGCTCGCCCCGAATTCGATCAGATTTTTTGCTCATTAAATTCGACCCCGATTTGATCCGAATTATTTTAATATCCGATCTCGATCTGATTCGACAATATGTAAATCGTATCCGATCCGATCCGACCCGACCCGAAATTAATAAAATATTATTTTTTAAAATATAAAATTTTATTTTTTAAATATAAATATTTAAAAATATCATTATATAAATATATATATAAATAATTAATTAATTAATTAAAAAATAATTTTTTAATAATGTCGGATCGGGTAGGGTCGGGTTTTAGGCATATCCGAACCCAACCCGACCCCGACTATTACTTAAATTTACTCGACCCGACCCCGACCCGAAACCCGAAATTCAAAAAAAAAACCCGACCTTATAGAGTCGGGTAGACCAAAATCCGTCGGGGACGGGCTTGATTGCCGTCCCTACCTTTGACTCGTTTTGGGTACCTTAAAATATAAGTTAAAATTTAGGATACAGTTATTTTCGATAATTTAAAATATAATATAATAATATCATATAAATAAAATATAAAATTAATATAGTATAAAATTATAATAATTATTATTTATAAATTTTAAAAATAAAAATTTTATGTTTTATTTTTTTATATTAATAGAAATTATAATTCGTAATTTTTATTTAAAATATAATATAAATATATTAATTTTAATTATTTTATATGATATAAATATATAAATTATTATTTTTTACTAATTTTTATATTTTAATTTTCGTTACTGTGTTTTTTTCTTTTTTAATCTAAGATTTTTCCTTTTCTTTAATTTTTATTTGGATTTACCAAAGGTTTGGTATGGGAAGGTGAAGGAAAAAAGGGTTTTGGGCTTGTTCTGTACGGGCTTTCAACCTTTTCGTGGTTAGAATGTGTTTGGCTTGGTATTTTTATTGCCTTCGTTTTTTTGTTTTTCTATAATGATAAATTTGGTCTTTAAACGAAGTAAAACGAGTCATTAACTTTCTCTTTTATTTGAGTTTTTTTTTAAGTTCTTCTCTATTTTTTAATTTTTTAATTATTTCATTAAAAAATATTATGTACAAAATTTTATAAAAATTTATAATTTTTAAATATCAATTTTAGTAATATATTAGTTTTAATAATATTTTAATTAATTCAAAAATCAATGAACTACTTTTTTTGAATTAATTTATCTATTTCTTTTCGTCAAATTGACTCAATTTAACAAAAATCAGTCATGCATCCATACGTGACTAATAACTTCTGTTAGAGTAAAAATCTAAAGTTAGATGGTTTCGTCGACGCTGACACGTCAGATGATATATATATGTATATGCGCGTGCGTCGACTACCATGGCATTTCGTAAGTCACTTGTCCGATCACTTGGTTTTGTTTCCAACAACCAAAAAACAAAAATGTTGTGGCTATAAAATTCAATTTTTTTCTCTTCTTTGTCCTTATTTTTTCTCTCTCTACAATCTAACTTTCTATCTCTAACTTTAAAGCCCCAAGAAGAGCCATCAACTATGCCCAAAATCTAGCATCAGACCGTCGTCTCGATCGTTATCCATCATCGCCAATGGTAGCTTGACGGCACTGGAATTACCTTCAACTCTTCTTATCTCCTCTAACCTTTTTCAGCTTAAAATTTTTTTTCTAACTCCGATTTTGATTTCTCAAAAACCCCCAGAAAGTCGTAAACCTAAAAGCCTAGGCCAAAAGATGGTGCATTTTTTGTTTCTTTGATATGGCTTTTGGTTCTCTTTGCTAAATTTGTTCTTTATATGTTTTCTGGTTGTGATTTTTTGGTAAAAAAAAGATTTCTTGTTGATGTTGGAAATGAGGCTTTTGAAATTTTGATTTGGCGTCTAGTGGTGATTTTATTTTTTTGTTCTTTTAAGGTTTTAATTTGTGCTTAATCAATTTAATATTACAGTTTTAACAAGCCATGGAGTGGACATTTGTACTTTTCACTATTATGTTGGTTGTATTCATTGGCTTTCTTACAAGCCTATTCGACGCTATGATATTAAAGCCTGAAAAACTTTGATCCGAGCTTTAAAATCAAGGAATCCAAGATCCTGCACCATGATTCTTGCTTGAAAATTTATGGGACTTGATAAAGACAAGATTAAAAGGACTTAAATATTTATTAATTTTCAATTTCGATCGATATTGGGTGTCCTTTGTTTAACTTGACGATCTTGCACTCGATTCGATACTAATTGAGCCAAATTCGAGTTTTATTTTAATCGAACCTGAATAATTTATGAGTACTAATTTATTATTTACACCTATAGTTGAAAACTTATGTTTGGACTTAGGTCACCCTTCAGTCAATGCCACGGTGCAATTGGAATAGCACATGTGAAACAAAAAATTTAGTTTTTTTTTTTTATAGATGAAAATTCATTATACAAAACTTCTATATAACCTTACCTTAATAGTATATTGATGCACTTATAACAGCACTATGGCAAAACCCAAAATGAAGACTAATTTATTGTTTCAATCGTTTATTTCTTATGGAAAAATATTTTATTTTAGGAAGAAAAAAAAAAGTCTGACAACAAAATTCATGCATTTTAATGTGTTTTAATGTTAAAAAGGATTTTTTTGGATTCGATTAAGATTTGATATTTAGAATTAGGAAATAATATATGATTTTCATAGTGAACATTTTTTTGCTAGAATTATTCCTTCTTGTTGGATAGATTGACATAACAAATAAATTTATATTATTTAATATGATCAATTAGATGGATATAATTATTAACGATAATCAAAGATGGAGAGTTTGCAGAAATATTCTACTGTTAATTTTTTGTAGATGTAAACAAAGAACGGCTTGACTCATTTTTCTTTGAAAAGTCTAATGCATATAATTAAAATAAATATCTCATTAAGATTCGAGTTACCTCCTTAGTTGACTGACAATTGTTTCAGCTGCCAATGGTACTTCGACTCTTGTTATTGGAAAATGATCTTTGATTGATACTTTAAATTTAGGTTCTATCTTAGTTGTTCCATCTTTAGATTATAATCTTTTGTCAATTCCCCAAATAACCAGAATTTTATCTTGTGCTATGATTTTTTCGCCCGAATTTTATGTTCCATGATATCCAGACAACGTAGACTATTGCAGAAGCTGTATTGTTGGACTTGGTGTTAGAGAATTCTGACAAGTTACGTCAGATGGCTCTAAAAGAGAGAGGAAAAAATTTGAGATCTGGTTACGGCATCGACATTTGGGGCATGCTTCCTTTGGTTATCTAAAACAATTATTTCCTAGTTTATTTGTAAAAATTGACGTTTCTAGTTTTTCTGTGTGATATTTACGAACTAACAAATAGTCATTGTGCTTCGTTTGACATTATGCATTACTAAAAGTCCACTACTCCCTTTTATGGTTATACATTATGATGTTTGGGGTTCATCCAAAGTCACTACTTTGGGAGGGTCACGACTTTTATTGATGATTGTATAACTAGGTCGACTTGGTTGTGCTTAATGAAGTCCAAAGTTGAAGTGAATTATTATTTCAAAAGTTCTAGAAAATGGTTGAAACTCAGTATAATGCATAGGTTCAGATTTTTTATATTGTTAATGGTGGAGAATATCATAAGTTAACAATATTTGGTAATGTCGAAGTGTCACGGGTCAAAAATTATCCTCCGAACCCGCGCGGCTCCAGGACTCGGGCATTCACCCTTCCGACATCCCGAATCAGCCTACCTGCCACGGTTCACACCCTTGTGAGGTATTGTCCGCTCTGGTCCCCCTGGCTTCACGGTTTTGTTCTACAAAAGGCGTCTCACAAGGCGAAGATGGTGTGAACCCTTTTATACCCCAGTGACCCTCCTATTATGTTCGATGTGGGATTCAGGACTCCTCTTTAGGTCCGTGACATTCTCTCGCACCCAACCTCGTGACGCCCTCGTCACGGAGGCTGACCACCCTGTCTACCTCTCTCGAGGTGCTTGGCGTGGATCGAACGGTTTAGGGCTGGCTATGATACCACTTGTCACGGGTCGAGACTTAAGCTCTGAACCCGCGCGGCTCCGAGACCCGGGCATTCACCTTTCCGACATCCTGGATCAGCCTACCTGTCACGGTTCACAGCCTTGTGAGGTATTGTCCGCTCTGGCCCCCCCGGCCTCACGGTTTTGTCCTACAAAAGGCGTCTCACAAGGCGGAGATGGTGTGAACCCTTTTATACCCCAGTGACCCTCCTATTATGTTCGATGTGGGATTCAGGACTCCTATTTAGGTCCGTGACAGAAGCATTTAGCGGTCAAAAGAGTATTGTGGTCTTTTTTTTTTATTAGAGACTGTCAATAAATAGCTATGTACATTTCAGACATTTGAACCGACCTAACATATCATATTGATTTAACATATTTAATACCACATCAGCTCAGTTACATCATTGTTGTCCTCTATAAGTTCCTTACCTCTTACCTATAAATATGGTTATCTAGGTACTATCATTCCAACTTTCATACATTTCTCTTCTTTCTACCTCCCTCATTTTGATCTCTAACTTAAGCATTTGATTGCAAACATAGGGAACACTCCTTCACTTTGCATCTAACTTCTCTATTTCCTTTTTTTTTTTTTAGGGATATTCTCAGGTTGGAGCTTGGTACAAACATTTAACGTGCTAGATAATGGGCTTTTTACTCATCAATCGAGTCTAAAATTATGCCGCCTAGGAAAAGAGCTATAGAGAAGGAGAGACAGTTGTTTTGACTAAAACAGAAACACATAATAGCCAGTACACAGATCGATCTGCTCCACAATAGGCTAGTTTG